TTTTTACCTGAACAAGGCCAGGTGACCTTACACTATTATTCTCTAAGCTCCAGCAGAAGCTGGTGATACTGGCTACAGACCAAGTCTACCTTAGGGGCCACAGTAACTACCCAGGTAAGACAATGAGCCACAGCCAAGGGACAGGACTAGATACACTAAAAGCCCATAGGTCTTTTAACAAAAAGATCAATCAGTTCTGTTAAGAATCCTTCTTGGGTCACCACTGAGAGGGGCAGGAGACAGTCCTTTCCTGTGATGGTCTTCATCTTGTGCTTATTTCTGTATATTGGTCCTGGGGGAGAAGAGGGGCTCACTTGAGAGCAGCACTGTCATCACCAAGTGGCTTATGAATGAACAAGTTATGGAGTGGTATGGCCTCCACACAACACAGTCAAAGACAGTTCAAATTCAGGGTGTATGTGTGGTATGTCATCATGACAAGCAGCTCACTAGTCAGACCTCACTTTGGTCAGCATGACACAGCACAGAATGACTTGTATACCAGGGACTCTTTCTTTACAACAGTCAGTCCTGATTTTAGTGTTTTCTTCCATCTTTTTAAGGAAAGATCTAGCCACAAATCTCTTGCTTCAATCTCCCAAGTACAGATGCACAACTGGCTGGAACTTTGTCTTTTGAGACAGGGTCCTACAACATAGCCTTGGCTAGCCTGGAACTATGTAAGCCAGTCTGGCCTTGAACTCAAGAGATCCACTTGCCTCTGACTCCTCGGTGCTGGTATTAATGGCATGAGCCACTATAACTGGTTCTTGATCTAGTTTTCTCATGAAAGGAATAAATTTACTGTATACTTCTTTGATCAGTATGCTGGAAAACCCAAACATCCTCAGGATGTTGGGTCAAAGAGAGAAGACACTTAGAAAATTCAATTTAATCTTGTATTTGTAATTTACTTTTTTTTTCCAAACAGTTAAAAAACCAAAACACACTATTACCATCATCCTAACTTGTGAACATATTGGTACATTGACTACACATCACCATAACATAATCACAAAAATTAAAGCAGTCAGCACTGGAGAATCTAGAAAACAAAAAGTGAACAAGCAAAAGCCCCTGGCTCACACGTGTTGCCAGGTGTTCCCATGCTGGCGCTCACTGAACACCCTTAGTCAGTTTGCTAGGGCCTAAGGATCACTGCTTTGGGAAGGGACGAGTTTCCTTGATACCCAGAGGTCTAACCTATGGGGGTCTTTCCTTAAATGTCCAAGGGAAAGGCTTAGGAAGGAAGGTAACACATACTGTCCCCACCCCCTACTTAGAAGCTAAGTCAGATAACTGAGTTTGTTGAGAAGCGAATATTTGGGAAGTCATTGTCTCTGGGAATTTCAGACCACAGGCACTGGCCCTTTTTTTGTTTGTTTTGAGACAGGGCTGCCAGCAGTGGAGGGCCCGGGGCAGCAGTGCAGTCCATCCCACCTGCGAGCAGGCAGCCACGGTCTTTGGTTTCTCTCCTTGGCTTTAAGGGTTCTGACATCATCCATGAATTACAGCTTCAAGACAGGCAGAAGCAAAGCTCACCTTTATTCTTAGGATGGCTCTCTCTCATACTAACTGTGCTCACTGTGGTTAAGTGGGCTGTATGCTGCCAGAGTCATGTGGCAGAGTCATGAGACCGAATTGGAAGTCTCTGGTGCATTTGAAACTGCTTAGTGTAACCAAATGGGGATAGAGATTAGTGTGGACCGAAGTTCCACTGTAAACTGGTCATCACCACAAAGTACAGTCACAGGGCTGGGTACCTGCACGCCTCATCTCTACCTGAAAGCACCCTGGATGCTTCAGAACGCGTTCGTAAGCCTAGCCTGCAGGCTTGCACTAATCTGGGTGGGCCTCCTTCAGATCAAGACAGGAAGGCGTTTTAGTTTTAAAAGTAGTTTTAAAAGGGAGCTGCTAAGACAATTAACACCGCCACGGCCCTAATCATCTTCAGTATTTTCCGCTCTAGACGACCGCTAAACAAACACAGCAACTTCAGCCACTCACAGCAGAGGCCGGCAAGGAACCAAGGTACTGACCAATGTGCATAGCCTTCTCTGCGGCTCTGGTTAAAAACAAAACAAAACAAAACCCTTTTTCCCTTACAGAATGATTTAGAAGCCTCAATGTCATTTTCAGTTCCAAAACAAACTACTTCATTACTTGTCAATAGAGTTTCAAACAGTTTCTGTCTCTAAAGTCAGGACAAATCAGAAAGAATTTAGCCAAAAGACAAGTGCTCTCCATCAGTAGCTCACGCCCGCTTGCTTTCTAACTGCACTTCAAAGGAAAGGATGGTCCCAGCAGCAGCATGCACGCACGCACTCAGTCATACTCACAACCACATGAGCAGCAAGGCATGAGTTGGCCTTGCCCAGACACTGTCAGTGTGACAGAGGCCACTCTGCAGCAGGCACCCTGGGCACTTACTCATCTGCCTAAGGATCTCAGCCTGTCAGGAGAAAAGGTCTTTCAGCCTTTACATTGGAAAGTAGATTTTAGTAAAAAAGAGACTGACCCCAGGATGCTCATCTCAGAGCCACAGGACACTTGCAGTTTCTTGTCTACTATTCCTTTAAATGTGTTGAGATGTTCTTTGTTTCTCTTTTCTTTTTAAAAAGGTCAAACTTTACATTTATTCTAGCCCAGTTGGGGATCAGTGATAATCAATTCCCACTGAAATCATGCAGAGATGGTAAGTGGGGTTCACCTTCTCTGGAAATGAACTTCTCCTTACCTGATTGTTTCTTCTACAATGAACTGGTAAATGACCCCCAGAGTTGAGAAATGTGAGTGATTCAGGTTTCTCAGACCACTTAACTTTGCTCCCATTTCCATCAGCAGTAGAGAGGACAATGTGGAGAAAAAGCTCAACCAAGCTATGGGCTTGAATGTGCAGGGTCCACCCCCGAGCCTGACACAATGGGCGGCCACACGTCTCAGCTGGCTTCGCAGCAGTACACCTTCAGCTGAACCTAGGGAGGAGAGCACAGTCCTGGCACCACCGAGTCTGCAGTAGTGCCCGTATCTCCCCCTAATCCTGGGCATGCACACACTAGGTGGATGTCCTCCTAGTTCCTAGAGCAGCCCGTAACTGATGGGCTAGTAGACTTACGGCCATTAGACCATTTCTTGAAGCAGCTCAAGTCTCTTCATATCTGACTTGTTTTTCAGCAAAGTCCTTCACCATTAATAGTCAACATAACAGACAAGGAACTCTGCAACACATGGTTGGTTGGGAAAGAAATGCCTATGGAGAAGTATGTCTTGAGATTGCAGCTAACACAGGGAAGGCAATCCGTACATATGTGACCTGACTCAGCACGTAATGGCATTCACTAGGGGGACACATTGGGCAAGGGGTGACTTGCAAACCAGAGAATGAAGGTGCTTTCTTCTCCCTCTCCTGCTCAAGTGAAAGTAGGCCAGTTGTGGGCCCCAACTCTGCTCAGGTGATGGTCTATCTGTGACCACTTGTGATGGGCCCCCACTTCTACTTTAAACAGCTTGTTCAGTTTGTTTTCTTCAACTCAGATGCACGGTTAGAAACAGCAACAGCAGCCTGACTGCTTGACTTCCAAGTGAAACTGAGGCTACACTGTGGCCTAAGTCACCCTTTGGCAGGCCCATGCATGTTGTTGGTTCTCAGTTCAAGTACTCCCAGGTTTGGCCATGAGCTTCTGTAAATGGACCCTACTGGCACAAGCCCAGTGCAGCCCTGCACATGGCCAGCTTAGCTCTGCCCTTATTGGAAGTGCAGACGCTATGTCTTCACTGACTGCCAGTTTACTGGCTGGGGAAAGTGGACAGCAAATAAGGCTGGGAGAAGAAAAGAAAGAGAAGGCAGCTTTTGCTTATCAGTAAACCCTGTGTGCCAAGCTCCACCCTGATCCCCTCTGGCAGCCTCGCCTTTCTGCAAGCTTGGAAGAAGTAGAAGGCCGGACCTGCGCGCAAGGCTGAGCCACTTAGACTGCCTGGTATTTACTGCTAACCCGAGAGTCCATGTCCCTCCTGATCATCTCTTCAGCTGCTGTGCTCATGGAGGGCAGTTACAGGTGCCTGGGTGCTTCACGGCTTGGCCGAGGGCCGAGGGCACAACCAGGAGCTGCGGAGCAGAGTGCAGTAGGGCCTGGGGCTGCTTTGTCTGCAGGCCTAGCCTTGCCAGTGATTTAAGATGAAGCACAGTGCTTTTTATTACACATCTAATTGTTAATGAGAGGAAATGCAATCAGCAACTCCTTTCCACTCTACATGGAACCAAGGAGACTGCTGAGTCCGGAGCAAACACAAGCACTGATGGCACCCAGGACATTCCTGTCCCTCCCCCGGGCACAGGGAAGGAGAAAGCTGCAAATGTGACCAGTGTCATGGTCACAAATTCATTGATGCCCCAGGTTGGTCACTTGCAGCAAAAGCCCAGGCTGGAAATATGGATGCACCCAACTCTTCCAAGTGTCACACTGTCTAGGTGATCCATTGCCTCATGCTAGCTGAGGACTCTCTTCACACACCTTCTCAGGCTGAAGATGGAGTAGGGGAGGAGGGAAGAGGGACAGATACCCAGACAATGGAGGGAGGCAGCAGGTGCAGATCTTCCAGTGTGTGTGTTCCTCTCTCTTTCTCCCCTCCAAGATGTGTAGGCAGCTGTCTCCTCCCACGCAGTGGCCTGGACTGCTCTGGCCAGATGTTGGACACTCCTGCAGTTAACAGGAGGAGGCCAGGCAGTCTGCCTGGAAGCAGTAGCCCCTGTCCCCTAGAAGTGGGCCAGATAGGGAAACTAGTTCTTCTGCTTAATGGCAAAGCAAGAGAGATTCTGGCAAAACACTAAATATATTTATAAGTCATCTTTGTCTGGAACCCAATGGGAGAGAAACAGGTGCAGAGGGGAAGAGGA